AATATTTACTGCTGGACTTGGTAGAATAATGCACATTTGTCAGCACTTGCTCACATACACACCGTATGTAGTACCATCGACACTCTATTCGGTGTTTCAGTATTCATGTCTTCTGTTAAAACAGGAAGAAGAAACCTTTAACAGCTGATGTCTGAGAGGTTTTCATGGCAACAAAGATCTGTCTGCTCTTTGGTGAACGCTGTTTGGCTCATGCTGCAGGAGGTGCAGGTGTTTTTATAGGACAGCTGAGGGGTCACCTGCTCTTTAAGACATGTTTGATCTGTGTGAATGTGACACATCACTTTATTCAGGTTTGTGTGAACATTTATTTATTTTATATTTAACCTCATCATAAATAATGTTGTATACAGCCTGTTTAACAACATAAAAAATATACTGCTATTAAAAAACAGAAAGAAACTCATTGTTACTTCATTGGATCTGGTAATAAGATCATTATGAGAACAGCGGCCCTCAAGCGGGAGAAGTGGGAACTACAAAAACAGTAAAGGTTTAAAAAAACAACACAAACACTACTTCCTGTTAGCGATTTTAGTGAAGGTTACTACAGCTTGGCTTTATCTGACACTGTTTTAAACATTAATGTGTGACATTAATGTGTGACGATGGGCTGAAAATGTTAATGTGTGAAAAAATTCTCTTTCAGCCGTCTAAGCTAGCTCTCGCTAACTGGCACAAGCTAACCCGAAGACAGTAGGATGACAGTTGAAGCTGAGTTGTAACTACCACTAGCTAGCTTCACTGCTACCTCAGATTACTTTCTGTAGAAGTGTTAGTAAAGTTTAAAGAGTAAAACAGCCGCTGATCACATGAATTACACCGCTGTATCCTCTTTGACTTCATGTCTGCGGATCCTAAACTACAGAATTTTCCCTGCCCTCTAGTGGACAACTGTATGTGTATAATCAATTTAGAGAAATTACATATGGAAATAACATCCGGTCTGACACTTCAAAATAAAAGGCCCCAATGTGGTTACGCGTTGTGACCACCAGAGGGCGGCATATATCAAACATACTGATTATAAAACTTACTGTAAAGTCTTAAAAAATGTTTGTTAAATGTTTAAAGGAAAGACAAAAGACACACAATTATTTAATTATGGATAAAAATACATTTATAAACCAATAACAGGTACTGTCTACACAGGATAATACTAATATCCTACATAATCACTGATGACTGAATTAATTTTTCTGTATGTGAAAAGATATCAAAAGTTTACCTTAATATCTATTTGATCATAAGCTGTTTTTTAAGACACACTCTTTCCAGATCACTTTTCTCATGGGCGTTTTTGGTTTTGTTTTTTGTTTTTTGTTTTTTTTTAAAACTTTTCACTTCCAGCTACATTATGTTTGACATGTTTGGACACCTTCTTAGAAAAGCTTAAAGTGCTTCTTATCTTTAAGTCTACAAATTCCTAGTCTGCAGCCAATTGAGTTGAAAGTGTCATCTGGAGAGGCTGTCTTTCAGGGTTTATTGTTCTGATCCTTCAAACACAACTGATGGTGCGTTAAATTAAAAGAATGAGAATATTAAAATCAAGTGATCAGACTGATTTACTTCACTGCCAATTGTGCTAATATTTCTCACTGAAAAAGGCACCTGCAGCATGCTGCAGAGATTTCAGAGCTCATGTTGGAAGAGTGAGACATTTCTCCACTCCTGTAAGTTTATTTGTAATGTCAAATGAAGATGTGATTAAAAAGATCATCAAACTACCTGATTCTAAATGCGCTCAGTGGAGTCACAGATGACCTGGAACCTTTCTGGTAAGCTAACAGAAGACTATAAGGAGACAATGCAAAGACAGACAGCATAAATGTATGTATGGTTGGAATGGGTCCAGTTTTGCTGCAGGCAACTGCAAGTGACAAATAAAACTTCATCATCACCATCATCATCATCAGTAGAGTATATTAACAGAAGTAATTTGTACTTCTGTTTAGGGGCTGAAATCAGCTTACAAAGAGCATTAGTTATGATTCTGCCATGAAATCC